CTCTGCCTCCCGAGTGCTGGGATTAAAGGAGTGCACCACCACACCCAGCCATAATTTCCTCATTCTTAATGCTAACTGATTATGTAGCTTTTCTTTTTTATAACAGCTTTAGATCCCCCAACGGGGTGCACTCTTCCTGGAGGTACTGCAATACCAGGTCAATGCGTGGAGTGGACGGAGCAAGCTCCTATTCCAACTCCTAGTTCCAAAAATCCATTTAATATATTGTCCTCAGATAGAAGACGTATCAGATATTAAACTGATAAGAACAGATACTACACTTGATCTTAGCTAAAAGGCTGAGAAGCGATATTTATTTATTTTTAAGACAGGGTTTCCCTGTACCCCATCTGGCCTGGAACTCACTATATAGTCCAGACTAGCCTCCATCTCACAGAGATCTGCCTGCCTCTGCCTCCCAGTGCTTGGGATTAAAGGCATGAACTATCACGCCTAGCCACAAAGTATGGCAGTTTTGTTGGCAGCAGTTTGCCGAGTAATCCTGACTAATTCCCTTTATAGCTAGCTACAGATACAGAGATAGATATACAAATACAGATGTATTTATTATGAGATCTGAGAGTTATCTGAGAGTTAATATTAGTAATAAGATGGGATAAAAGGAGACTGTAGAGATGGCCCTATAGAGATGGCCCAGTGGTTAAGAGCACTGGCTGCTCTTGTAGAGGACCAGGGTCGGTTCTCAATACCCACATGGTAGCTAACAACTATCCATAACTCCAGTTCCAGGGAATCTGAAGTCTTCTTTTGGCCTCTGTGGACATTGCATGCACAGGTACACTTACATACATTCAGACAAAACATTCATACACGCATAAAAATGGTTGTAATGAAAGGACTATCTATCATCTATCTATCTATCTATCTATCTATCTATCTATCTATCTATCTATCTATCTATCTATCTATCTATCTATCTATCTATCTATCTATCTATCTATCTATCTATCTATCTATCTATCTATCTATCTATCTATCTATCTATCTATCTATCTATCTATCTATCTATCTATCTATCTATCTATCTATCTATCTATCTATCTATCTATCTATCTATCTATCTATCTATCTATCTATCTATCTATCTATCTATCTATCTATCTATCTATCTATCTATCTATCTATCTATCTATCTATCTATCATCTATCATCTATCTATCATCTATCATCTATCTATGAGCTAGGGAAGCTGGGAATAAGATAACAAACCCTGTAGAGATCTGCTGGAGGTGCTTACTGCAGAGTTGAGCTATAAAGTCACAGATCTGAGTTAAACCTCAGGGTTTAGTCCAGCTACAGAAGCAAGATGCAGGACCACGGAGGTGAAGGGAGGACTGAGTCCAGAGAGACAATGAGCAAGCAAATGAATGGCAGGTCCAGGTGGATGAACAATCAGATACATAGATGGTAATTTGAGTAGGCCATGCCACAGTGGGGATGGATCTGTGCTGAAGTTTCTGAGATAGTTGGGGACTCTCTGCCTGTCAGTCCCTTGATGGACACACCAAGTGGATAGGTGACAAGATGGTGGGAGTTATCACCATTGCACCTGATAATAACCTTGGTGTTAGGTGTTCTTCTCTTTATTGGGTCCAGGTGAGGGCGCTGCACTAATTTCTCAATTTGATGTGTTCAATAATTTCTTGGGCCTGTTTTTTTCATATGATTTTAAATTTAATTTAATTTTAGGTTTTTTTTGTCTTTTTGAGACAGGGTCTCCCTGTAGCCCCAGCTGGCCTGGAACTCACACACTATGGCACTATGTAGACCAGACTGCCTTGAACTCACCGAGATCTGCCTGCCTCTGCCTCCCGAGTGCTGGGATTAAAGGCGTGTGCCACCACACCTGGCTTTTTCATAAGATTTTAATACATCCATGTGCCCATATGGTCCCAATTTACTTTGATAAATTTGTAGGGTGGCATTCTTTTTACTTTTAGGAATAAGCTATTTATCAATCTGTGCCTGTAGCTGGTGTTACACAGATGGTGAAGTTTATGTGCCCACCAAGGTGCAGTCATCCCATTTCTGTATTTGCACTCAAAATGGAGTCAAAAGCTGCTTATAAAATGGAGTTTCTCAGGGTAAGGCATAGCTTGAAGAACTACTGTTTTATGTAACACCAAATAAGAAAACGGTTCAGTCTGATCTCAACAGTATTATAAGAGTTTTTATTGAGGAGGTGTTCCTTTAGACATTGGGCCCAGAAGGAGCTAGGAGTACCCACTCTGTGCATCTGAGCTGGACACTGGGGGTCTTTCCACCACATGAGAATTGCAGTGATTCCTTTGAGGAGAGACTTTCTTTCATATGGTATCATGTCCATTTACTTGCCAAGGGATCTTTGAGAAGTTTGCTTAATTTTCTTGAATAAAGGGAAGTAATCAGACATTTTGAGAAGAGAGGGAGAAATAGAGTTAGATAAATAGATATAGAGAGAGGCAGTGAGAGAGAGAGAGTGAACTGTTAAAATATATACTACTATTACCTGCTGTATTTAGAATTGTGCCAGTTTCTATTCTATGAGCTCAATACAGGCCAGATCATTGACTGTTTCAAAGATGAGGAAAACTGAGTAAATGCTGGGATTCCATTTAATTTCTAAAGTTTGGGGCACAAAATTTATGGAGCGTAAAAACTGCAAAGGACTGTAGGGATTTTCTATTCTGTGTTCTGCCTGAGCACCATGGGTGAAGTCTCTTCTTTTCATGCATTATGGGAAACTGAGGCCCAGAGAATAGTAACTTACTAAGAGCACATTGCAGATGAGTGATAGAACTGAGCCCGGAAGCCAGATGTCCTGCCCCTCAGTTCGGTGCTCTGTCCATTAAATACAATTAAAAGCTTTATGGTTGGCAATATTCTGAAAACTGAGCTCCTGGAACCCCTGGGTTAGAGGTGGGATCCTTACTCCATACTAAAGAATTGTATATTTCATTAGTTCAGAATTTAAAAACAATTTAGCTGGGGGTTGGCACTTGTGAGTAAGAGATAAGTATTTCTTGGCAGTGATAAAACCAAACATTGAAAAATGTAACTGTATACTGAAAACATTTCCCTTGTTCCTTTGGTCCTGCACTCATTTATTCAATTTTTTGTTCCTTCCTTCCTTTCCTTTTTCTTTTATTTTGAGGCAGGGTTTTCTATGTAGCCCTAGCTTGCCTGGAACTTGCTATATAGACCTGGCTGGTCTTAAACTTGCAGCAGTCTTCCTGCTGTGCCTCCTGAGTGTTGGGATTTACAGGTGTGCATCACCACATCCAGCTTGTACTCTCAACACTTGGGAGACTGAGGCAAGAGGCTTCTGAGCTTGAGGCTACTATGGGTTACATACATTCAAGGGCAGCCTGGGCTATATGAAGAATCTTTGGACAGGTTGGTTCAAGCTTGAAGAGGTTAAATAATGAGCTTATTGCCATAACTACAATGGTAGGACTCATATTGAATCAGTGACTACTTTGCCACACTGCATTGTTTCTAGAGAAACCCTGTGCCTCTTACCAAGGATCTGGGGTGGAGTTGGAGAAGGGCGACAGACAGCACACAAGTAAATATATACTCCTTAATTGTAACTCATTTGTTCACTTGTCTCTTATCTTTGTTTTGCATTGAGTCAGGATCTCATACTGTAACCCAGGTTAGCCTTACACTCACAGCAATGCTCCAGCCTCATTCTCCTTAGTGCTAGAATTACAGGCATGTTGCCTAGCTTGTCTCTTAACTCTGTAGTCTTCCCTCACTTTTCAATAAATGTTTTGGATATGATAGATACTAAACCAACAGTAGGTTAGTCTTAATCACTTCTTATGGAAAGTACTTGGGTTCTCTAGAGTTGGAAATCCAGATCTAGTATTTATTTTCTATTTTCAAAAATAAAATGATGCATATTTGTGGTATACAAACATGATGTTTAGATATCCATATATATAATGACATGATTACAACAGTTCAGCAGTTGAGTGTATTCATCTCACATAGTGACTGCTTTGTGCATGTGTGGTATGAGTGCCTGCAATCTCTTAGCAAGTTTCTAGCACCTGATGCAGTATATCCTCATGCTGTGTATTAGATCTGCAGACTCTAGCTTTGCATGCCCTTTGACCATTCTCTCCATTTCCCCTTCACCCCCATAACTATCGTTCTATTTTTTTATTTTAAGACTCCCTATATTCATGAGACCATGCACTCCTTGTCTGGTTCTCTGTTGCTTATTAATGATGACTTTGAGCTAGTTGCTCATTTCCTTGGGATCTAAATCTCTTCATCTGTAAAGTGAGAAATTGTACAGAATCTGTGTTGGGTAATTAAGCCATTTAAACTCTGATAAAAGCCATGGATATTTTTGA